GTGTGTGTGTGTCTGTGTGGGAAAAAGTGCATTATCGATGCAACCCCGCCAGAGAGAGATGATGCAGATCAAAGTCTGTGATGAGGGAACATGGTGGCCACCCACCACCCAATGACAGAGAGAGGGACATAGAATGAGACAGAGAGAGGAAGGCCATATACCAGCTTCCTTCCTATTCAACTCCAGCCCTCCCATGATCTCCTCCAACCTGTTTGCTCCCTCCCCTTTCCTCACCCGTACTCCTCTTGCTGCTTTCTTCTACCTCCAGCAAGCATCCCTGAAATTGCGTCACGAAGACTCGGTTCCAAATTAACAGATTGCAGAGAGTCATGAAGGATAGAAGAGGATATGAGAGGCAGAGAGGGGGGGGGCGGGGGTCCGAGTTTCCATGGCGACCGCACAGGACTCCTGCTTCTTGAACGAATGCGTGTGTGTCTGTGTGTGCCTATGTGTGTGTGCGCATTCAAGGCTTTCACAGAGGGAGACACCATAAGATATTTTTTTCCTCCTTTTTTCGTTTAGGCAACAAAGAAGCATTTCTCCTACGTAAAGATGTAATTCGAACGATACGCAAGCGTACACCAACGCACCATGTTGTGAAACATATTGCCTTCTGACTGTTTCATACTCGTTTCACAGCCAAATAAGGTGCGAAGGGATGACTGGTACATAGTAATTACAACATGCCCTGCTAAGCTTTTAGTCTGCTCCTATCATAAAACAAAAGCTAGAATCCTCACACTACATCCACATAAAAAAAAAAATTGAATGAAGTCGCACCCAGAATCAATCTGAATCTTCAGCTCCAACGCAGGTTTCAGACTCAAAGTAGTAAGTTTTAGAAGATCGGGTGTGATTGAGTGGAACGAACAAAAACAAGACGAGGTGCAAAGTCTTTCTGCGGACAATGTGACCTTGACCGTGTGGCTTTAAGTAAGAAAAAAGCAGCAGGCCAGGATATAGAGTCTTCAAGTGTGCGGAAATGCCTTTTGCCAGCGTGCTGTGCACTGTTGACTCCTGGGGTTATTTTGATTGGATCATTAACAGGACAGTAACACCTACGTGCACAGGCTGGGAGTGATGACACAACCCGTCACGTCTCTCTTTTTGTCTCTTCCTTCTGGTTCAGTTTAGTACATGACCTTCATACTACCAGCAGGTAAGAGCAGCAGAAAAAGCAGCAGCACAAGTTGCAAGCTGCTGCTAATGCTAATGCTAATGCTAAAGTCAAAGCATAGAGCAACAAATCTCCCCAAAATCAAATCCTAAGCAAGATTTAACAGGACTGCATAAATATTGTAGCTAAATTGTATCCCGGTATAGCACATGTATGTGAGCTCACACATGTGCTGCACATGTACAGATGTTACTGTAGCAACTCGCTCAGCTCAACATGTCCATTAGTAGCTTTTCTAAACCAAGAGGAGAAACTGGGTCAGAACTGTATGAAAGCGGGCACTTTTCCTCTCTCTGATTCATAAATACATACCACAATGGAAACACACTGCAAATGTAGTTCTGCATTAGCCCAGACTTGAATATATCCCCACTGGAGCCCTTAACATCCTATCCTTAAGTCTTTCCATTGTGTTTATGTGTCTGAGTAGCGCACTTTGGAGATATCACGTTGCATAGACTGTAGTGCATTTATTATAAAGGTACTGAAGAATGCAATCCCACACATTTACACACACACATAGCGTGTTTGATGCCATGAAGGGCCAATGACCTGCTCAGTGGGAGCAGTTTTGGGTTCAGTGACTTTCTCAAGGGTTCTCAGTTACATATTTTTATGGACTGGAAAGATCTAATCCCATTGGAATGAAACCATGATTCATGTTAATCAACAAAAACACTTAAAGTGCACAGGCATTGTTAGTAATATTCCATTACTAGGAGCATTAAAACACTTTATTGGATTTAA